AAGAAGAAGAAGAAGAAGAAGAAGAAGAAGAAGAAGAAGAAGAAGAAGAAGAAGAAATGTGTTTCATCAGGTGTAGCTTTCTCAATTAGGAAAGGGCAGAAGTTTGCACCAGGATTATAAAACCACAAGACAGCCTTTGATGAATAATTTCTGGATTATCATTTGCAGTCATGGTGGTGCAGTGGTTAGAGTGCAGTACTGCAGGCTACTTCTGCTGACTGCCGGCTGCCTGAAATTGGGCAGTTTGAATCCCACCAGGCTCAAGGTTGACTTGGCCTTCCATCTGTCCGGGGTGGGTAAAATGAGGACCCAGATTGTTGGGGGCAAGAGGCCGACTCTGTAAAAGTGCTTAGAGGGGGGCTGTAAAGCACCCTGAAGCTGTACATAAGCCTAAGTGCTATTGCAATTGCAGGTTCCCATGGTGACTTTTCCATTCCCAGCCCTAGTGTGCCGCTGTTTTTAATTCCCCTCCCCCACTTTTTCTTCAGGTCTTCCTACCTTTGCTGAGGCAGGCATCCAAGGAAAGTCTTCTGAAAGGAATGAGCTGCAGCAAAGCTGCAATTATTAATGTATCCAGTGACTGCGGCTCCATCACCAACGTTCTGGCCTGGGATATTGGACAAATCCCCAACTATCGTTGCAGCAAGGTTTGGAGAAGGCTTGGTCACTGCCCACGCGGTCATATAAATACCAGATTTATAGATCTTATATGTATAGACTTTTCATCTAAAATCTCAGACAATACAGGGAGTGCTGAACTAACGATCACCATGGAGCTCAACATTTCTGTAGCTAAGCAAGACGGTGGCTGAGCGAGTTTTTGCCCCATTGCCCCACCTTCCTGGCCAGTGATTGTTAAGTGAATCACTGCAGCTGTTAAGTTAATCATACAGTTGTTAAGTGAATCTGGCTTCCCCAATTGACTTCGCTTGTCAGAAGGTCAACAGAGTTGATCACATGACTTCTGCAACCGTCATAAATATGAACCGGCTGCCAAAGCGTCTGAATTTTTTGATCACACGACCATGGGGATGCTGCAACGGTCGTAAGTGTGAAAAAAGTCACTTTTTTCAATGCTGTTGTAACTTTGAATGGCCACTAAAAGAATTGTGGTAAGTCGAGGACTACCTGTGTTCCAAGAGTGGTCTTACAAGGCTATAAAGTGGTACTATTAAGAGCCGTGGTGGCGCAGTGGTTAGAGTGCGGTACTACAGGCTACTTCTGCTGACTGCCGGTTGCCTGCAAGGGGGATCCTTGTTTGTTTGTTTTTAAATTATAAAAATTGCAAGTGTATACAGGATGGGAGCAACATAATTGTTATTGTGCTGGTGGTTATTCTTAAAAGTCAACATACAGGGCTCTCCTTTCCAAAACCCATCCCGGTTTTCCTACAGAAATATCTGTTCTCTGATATAACATCATGTCCAATAACATTTTTTTGCAAATACATGTTGGGGAAATACACACACACACACACACACACAAAACATATGAAACTATTGAGCCATGGTGGCGCAGTGGTTAGAGTGCAGTACTGCAGGCTGACTGCCAGCTGCCTGCACTTTGCCAGTTCGAGTCTCACCGGCTCAAGGCTGACTCAGCCTTCTGTCCTTCCAAGATGGGTAAAATGAGGACCCAGATTGTTGGGGGCAAGAGGCTGACTCTGTAAACCACTTAGAGAGGGTTGTAAAGCACCGTGAAGCAGTATATAGATTTAAGTGCTATTGCTATTGCTACTAACATTTCACGTGATCTTGATTCTACTCCTCTGCTCATGCAGCCTAAGATTGCATTGGCTTTTTGGGCAGCTGCAGCATAACTTACAATATTCTTTGCAGAACTAGGATGTGCCATTCATCTTCCTCTTTCTACAATGCCTCTCTTCTAGACTGCTTTAAACATGCTCAACCGATGCCAGTCCCTGCAATATGCCCAAGATGAGATCCTGTGTGTTGCATTGCACCCTGGATGGTTGCAGACAGATATGGGAAGTGGATGCAAAACAGTAAGTGGCTTGTAGCGGAATTTCTCTCCCCATAAAATTAATACATCTACTACAGGGATTTCCAACTTGGCAACTTTTAAGGCTTGTGGATTTCAACTTCCAGAATTCCTCAATTGGCCTGAGGAATTCTGGGAGTTGAAGCCCATAAGCCTTAAGCTGGAGATCCCTGATCTATTGTATATATGAGCTGCTACATTAGCATGCTATTACATTAATTCCCTTTCTGGCCTTTCAAAATTATATTTTTTTAACAACTAGGAGAAAAAAAGTCTTGGGGTTGGTCTTGTAGCTCAGTTGAACCAGAGGAAAAAAACAATTTAATGAAGTAACATCTTTTCTTTGGTATCAAGTAAGCCATTTGATCATTTAATACTGTTTGCTTTTATTGTTATGAATTTGGCAACAGAACGTTGTAGGTAAGAAAGTCCTTCAGGCAAAAAAAAAAATCATATGTTTGTTCAATTCTTCTTTTTCTAAGTCAGTAGACAGGAAAACATTTTGTGGCAATACGTTTTGTCCTCTGTTCATTAGACTTGGTTGGGATTTTTTTTAAAAAATGAAAGATGTTGAATAGACTTTTAGTCCATTAAGTATCCCAATGCATCAGATAAAAATGAAAAAAGAATGAAAAAGAAAGTTAGTAAACATTTACAACAACAATAAGAGAAATGGATTATGCAAAATTTTAAAAAAAATGAATTCACAAATAAATTAGGGGAAAACTTGGCCTATTTCATTACGTTTATTCTTTTTTCTCTTTTTTGTTCTTTTTTTGTTTCTTTTCCTTTCTTCCTTCCTTTTCCTTCCTTCCTTCCTTCCTTCCTTCCTTCCTTCCTTCCTTCCTTCCTTCCTTCCTTTCTTTCTTTCTTTCTTTCTTTTCTTTCTTTCTTTCTTTCTTTCTTTCCAGTTGAAAGCCCCAACTACAGTTGAGGATGGTGTACAAAATATTCTTAAAACACTTGCCCACCTCTCTGAGAAAGAAACTGGCACTTTTCTGAACTGGGATGGAAAACCTCTTCCTTGGTAATCCAGCAACTTTCAATCAGCCTGCCTTTTAAGAAGAAGATATGAAGAGCCCTGAAGACTCTTCATATAATAACAGGGTTTTGATTTGTAACTTTGATTTGTAACTTTTCTTAAATCTTCAAACCTTGGCTCTGCTAACTAGCTTTGGGCCTTGACGAGGGTCTTTTAGGCTGGAGGTGTAAGAGAGAAGGTCCCATGTCGTATATCTGGCTATTAGTTTTATATCATTCCTGTTACTTGTCAATGTTTTTGTATTTCTGCTTCTATTGTATTTCAAGCTGTCCAGAGTCACTTTGCATAGGGAGATGGGTGGCGTATACAGGTAGTCCTCAACTTACAACAGTTCATTTAGTGACCGTTTGAAGTTACTACAGGACTTATGTCCGTGTTCCACACTTAACCATTGCAACTTCCCCATGGTCACGTGATTAAAATTCAGGCACTTGGCAACTGACTCATATTTATGACAGTTGCAGTGTCCTGGGATTGTGTGATCCCCTTTTGCAACCTTTTGACAAGCGAAGTGTCAACTGTGGTCTTTTAAAGTTGCCAGCAGTTTTATTTTTGCAGCTTGCCAAAACAAAACTGCATTCCATAAATGTTTTCAAAGATAGTTTCTAGGTGACTGAAGTGTTTGCCTCGCAAATATCTAACTGGAGAACATGATTGATGACTCTTGGCTATGGATGTGTCCCATTGGAGAATATGAATTATGATACACCCAGGGGGTGGGGGGAAACCAGGGTCAAGGGTGACTATGAATGATGTGTCTCGGAGTCTGCTACACCCAGGCAGTGCTGGCATGCTTACTCCTAATAAATCTTCTTTAAGTCTTGAAAATTCAGCAAGAGACTCATGAGTTAAATGGGGGTAACTACTGGAGCCCTGACACAACCTCAGTGGGGAAGCCAGATTCATATCACAACCTTGGGACTAGCTCAACAACTGCATAGATTCACTTAACAACCATGCCAAGAAAGGTTTTAAAATGGGGCAAAATTCACTTGACAACTGTCTCGCTTAGCCACAGAAATGTTGGACTCAGTTGTGGTCATTAAGTCAAGGATTACTTGTACATTGAATTAATAAATGAAATAAATAAAACAGTATGGTGGGGGAGATTTAAGAATGGCACCTGAGGGCAAGCCATCATGGTTTTTGTGGATAACGGAAAGTGAATTATTGTTCTGATGCAAAACTAGCAGTTTATATCACTCAAGAAAACTGACCGGCTAGAGATTTAGGAAGGACCAAAAGAAGTATTTTACAGCCCTAACTTGCAACAAATATCAATTTCCCTTGAATGAACTGTTGTTGACTGCGATTTAAAGAGGGGCTCACACAATTAAGTCCCAGCTGATCGGCTGGGTCTTCTTTGGTTGCCCTGCACAGGAGAACTGAGCTGGAAAGCAGGTTAGTGAGGTGGGGTGGGAATGGGGATTCTGCAGTATCCTTCCTCTGCCATGCCCACCAAGTCCCGCCCACCAAGCCAAGCCATGCCATGCCCACAGAACCCATAGTAAAAAAAAAAAAATGAATCCCACCATTGGTTTGTTCTCCGACCTTGTTCAGTTTCTGAAAGTTTTGTTCCCAGGCTAGGAAACATCATATAAGATATTACCTAGCCTGGGAACAAAATAATACTAAGAGCAAACAATAGATATAAACTCAAGATAAACTGCACCAAACTTGATTTCAGGAAATACGACTTCAGCAACAGAGCGGTCAATGTCTGGAATACTCTACCTGACTCTGTGGTTTCTTCCCCAAACCCCAAAAACTTTAACCTTAGACTGTCTACTATTAACCTCACCCCTTTCCTAAGAGGTCTGTAGGGGGCATGCATAAGCGCACCAAAATATGCCTACTGTTCCTGTCCTATTGTTTCTTTTTTTTCTCTTATTCGTATACATTTCATGTATTCTTAACTATGTTTATACTTATGCCTGTTATCTAATAATCGCTTGACAAAATAAATAAAATAAATAAATCATCAGCAAAACTTCAGCTGAAGTGTCTTATTTTACTTCTCTTCTGCTTTCATAGGTCTTATGTGGTTAGTTGGTCACGTGACCAACTGGTCACGCTTTATGAGGGTCATCTGGTGGTAAGGTCATCCTGGCTGGCCATGTGACTGACTGGCCATGCTGTGTGAGGGTCATCTGGTGGTGGGGCTACCCTGGCTGGAGATGATGTGAGTTGGTTGTTGGTTGACGCCGTCGTTGGTTGGTCTGGCTACCTACCATCCAAGCTACAGATACTTTCCACCATTTCTAATTTTTTTTTTACTTAACTATACCATAAGACTGATGATCTTTATCCTGCCAGAATAGAACACAAAGGCAAGAATCACCTGTATTACGAGTGTAAAGATGCGAGTGAAAATATTCTATGTAGCCTAAAATAGCAAATATTCTATTGAAGCCATAGAAGTGAACTATACTGTACATTTTAGTTCCATATGATGGCAGCAGCTAATAAGACAGTGTTGGCAAGACAAATATCTATTCTTTTTGGAGATTAATTAAAGTTTGTGCGAATACATATAAGCAGGCCAAATCATTAAAACTAATCCCTATTTGGCAATATTTTCTGCACACTTTAGAAAATAAAGCTATTCAAGAATACAAAGGCAATCTTTGTTTTTAGATTTTTTTTAAATCCCACTTTTATTATTTTAATAGAGTTGGGCAACTTATCTTCATCATTGGAAGCTTTCAAGAAGAGACTAGACTGTCACCTGTCAAAAATGATGTAGGGTCTGCTTGGGGTGTGTGTTGCACTGCTAGATGACCTACAAGGTCCCTTCCAACTCTGTTAATCTGTATTTGTATCCGTTACTCCTTCCTCCTGCTATTTGCCCAACAACAGCCTTGTGAGTTGAATTGAGCTGAGAGTGAGTGACTGGTCCAAAATTGCCCAACTGGTTTTCTTGCCCATGGCAGGACTAGAACTCTCTCTCACCTGGTTTCTAGCCCAATGCCTGGGGCCAGCCCCTAAGAAATTGCCAGAATCACCACAAGACTATGTCTTCAGTCCTATTCTAGAAGGTGGCCCCGATAGACACCACCACAACCAACGTTCTCAGATGTTACCATCAGTTCTTCTACCTGCCAATAAGCCATTTAGAAAACAATCAGAGTCATCAGAATTCATAAGTTGCTCATAGCTTACAAACTTCAGTCTTTCATGGGGACCCCAACAAATCTCTTGCCGAGAATCTCAAATTTTAAGGCCACCGCATGTCTTAGTGACTTGACAATTTATAGCATCATTAACAAAAGAGAGATTTGTCCTCAATTTTCATTTATTTCATGCAATAGAATCTTTAAAAAAAAAAATCCTGTACAAACATATTGGAAGCTCCAGGTGGCATTTTGGCAAGAGAATTCACAGCCTAAGTGAAGATCCATTTCCAAACAAATGGAGTTGCAGAACAGGAACTGATTCTCAGAGGCTTAATTGTCGTGGTTTAGAGAGATACCAGAGATCTCAAAAGAAAATTCTCCAATAAGAAATCACTGCTTTACCAATGGTTGCCAGTGATATCTAGAAGTATTTAGATGGATCACTGCGATCTGCAGCCTGAAAGAGCCTTGCTGAACAAGGTTTGATGGGCACCAGACAGAGTAACTGAAGCAAGGGAAAGTTGGAGAACATGCAGCAGAGCATCTTCTATAGTGAGCACTGGTAGAAGACAGAAAGTTGCATTGCCTTCGATGAGGACATCATCCTGCAATGGGGAGAAGCAGAATCTTGGTTGTCTCACCAGGGAATAAGATTCCCTTCCCAGTTAACAAATGTGCCAGTATTTTTCTCAGAGAGACGGCCAAGGGTGTTGAGAATAGTCTGCAAACTTTGCTCCGTTGTCAGGGGAGGTGATCCCTGTAAAGATATAGGCAAAGGATGAAGGAAGTTGATAGTGGAAAAAGTCTAAAAGCCTACAGTAGTAATGTCACTGAGAGAATTCAAGGCAATAGTGTAATATGGTGCGATTCCAAGGTGTATTAGCAACAAAACATTCCATTATTAGGTGTGAAATTATCATCAGAGGACATGTTGTGGCCCACCAGTGGCCAGCGGACTTGGACAGTGAGGAGGTTGAGGAGGAACATGGGGCAGTCCTGGAATCTGGGGAAGGCTCTGATGGGTGCTCTGCATCAGAGGCAGAGATGGGGCCAGGGCCGTCCGACAGTTACCAGCTGCTTTCGAAGTTAGACATCAGTGGGGCAGAAGAGCAGCTGGAGCCTGTTCCCAGTGTACGCATGCACAGAGCTGCTAGAAGGGAACAGTTAAGGAACAAGGGTCTACTTGGGAATCAAGGCACAGGTGGATGATGAATGCCCCTTCCCATAGGGAATAAAAGAAGAGCGAAAGGGGAGTGGTGTTTGCAGGAGACAATTAGTTCAATTTATTAGGGTGAAGATTTGTTCCTGACTCCTTACCAAGTGTATTTTCTGCTACAGCATTGTTGCGCTTGGAAGCTATCGGCCTGGCAACTCCCCAAGCCTGATAAGCTCTGTGGTTGTAAATCACTCTTGAAAGACTGTTTGCCAGGACTTTGCTGGATGTGAATAAGAAGAATTCACATTAGCCAAATGAAATGGGGTTTTGTTGGGACTTTGTCTGCTTGGTGATTTTTTTCAAGCCTAGGTCAGAACAGGACAAATCTTGCAGAAGAACTACCAAGTCTTCTGAGGATGACCATTAGCAAGTACCTCTGATGCCCCCATAATTAACAGAACCCCTCTTGACCTTATCGGCTGAATTTGAGGGAACTTCCCACAGCATCGTAAAAAAACAAAACAAAAACCACCTGGAGTTTACAGAATTGAAGACTCCCCATTTCGTGTGAGTGGTTTTTGCTTCAGCATGTTCCAGACAAGCAAACAGAACAAAACTTTATTTCGGTCATTGACCAATAAAAAGTACACTCAGTAAAATAAACAATGCAAAATGATCCCCTAACAACAAGAATTATTAACAAATAATGCTTATGCATAGTATAGCAAAATGTTGCTCTTTTTTTTTTTTTTTTTAGAGAGAGTTGTTTTCTTGACAGTATAATAGCAAATATAAGTTATCAGAGGGCCGTGGAAATCTTAAAAAGGGGTCTATTCATCTGGTTGTGAAGATCCTTGTAGAGCATTTAGAGAAGAGACTGTATTTTAGTATTTAATGACTATGGGCCTCACAGTTCAAGGACTGGTAGTTAGGCTGTGTGTAACTGACAAACTGGATGCCAAAATGTGTTTTTAATATCGATTGTATCTGCTATTTATTATTTCATTGTAGAAGTTTTAACTGGATGCCCCTTGAGTATTTTTATTTGTTCTGGACTCTAGTTTTTGACTGTAATAAACTTGAATTGATTTGAACATGAGTGGTGGTTTTTATGACATCCCTCTCGCAGAGGCAGTAATGGGTTTTGTATGGAATTTTCTGATATTTCCCTTCCAGAACAGCTGTGGAGAAAATGTTTACTTGAGCTAAAGATAAGCTTCTCCTAAATGTGGGAACTGTGATATGATACAAATATGAGGCTGATTTTGGCACTAACTGTTCTGACCCAGCTCCCCAAACACGACAAACCCTCTGAAGTTAAATCAATGATTCTTTTATTAGGAGCGCCAGCAGCTCCAGCAAAAAAGTTTCTTTTTCACAACAGGCTAAAAAGTCTATTTGGCAGGGAGATGAATAGTTGTCTGCCACACCTATTCATCTCCACCCCCTGCCTTTTATCCCCAGGGTTAGGATGGGGTTTCGCTAGCAGCGGTGGCTCTTTCATCCCAAGGATCAGCTCACGGATTTCCACTGCTCTCCTCTCCTCTGCCTTTTGCGCATCCACGCGTCAGGCACTGGACCCAGCTGTTCCTCCTCTTCCTCATCAGCCATCCCCAAACCTGGTGGCTGTTGACTCTCCATCTGAAGACTGACAGGTGGCCCAGGCTCTGCCTCTGCCTCTCTCTCTCTCTCTGTCAGCTCCATTCCCTCTTCCCCTCAGCTTGCCTTGATGCTGACCCTGACTCCCAAGCCACCTCCTCGTCTGATTTGGCTGCCAGAGGGACCGGCAGCCGACAGGCCACAACCAGGGGTGGGATTCTACCAGTTCGCACCTATTCGCTAGAACCGGTTGTTAACATTCTAAGCAGTTCGGAGAACCGGTTGTTAGAAGAAATGACTGGTCTAATCCTGTAAGGAAGGCAGGAAGGAAACATTCTGGTGTTGCTTACAGAAACTGCCTCTCCGTTAACCCTTATTACATTCTTGGCAGGACTAGACTTCCTGTCTCAGGAATTTCTCTGGAGTTTTTTTTGCCCTCCTTTGCTGGCACTTTGCTTTTGCTTGCACCATTCAAAGTGACCATTCAAAGTTACAGTGGCACTGAAAAAAGTGACTTATGACCCTTTTTCACACTTACGACTGTTGCAGCATCCCCACAGTCATGAGAGGCCAGGCGAGGAGATGCATGCCTCGATGTGAGTGATATTGAGTTGGCCACACCCAGCCAATAACATGAGCACCAAGCCATGTCCACCCAGTCACATGACCACCAAGGCACACCTACCACCTAAGCCACGCCCACCCAACTGATTGTTAAAAAATTTGAATCCCACCCCTGGCCACAACACTAACAACGTTTGATTATTTGCAATTACAGGCAGTCCTCAACTTACAACAATTTATTTAGTGACCGTTCAAAGTTAAAAGGCACTGAAAAAAGTGACTTATGACCGCTTTTCATATTTACAATCATTGCGACCTTCCCTGGGTCACATGACCAAAATTCACACGCTTGGCAACTGACTTGTGTTTATGACGGTTGCAGTGTCTCGGGCTCATGGGGTCATCGTTTGCGACCTTCTGTGCAAGCAAAAGCAATGGGGAAGCCAGATTCACTTATCAACGGTGTTAGTAACTTAACAGCTGCAGGGAATCACTTAACCACCGTGGCAAGAAAGATCGTAATATGGGGCAAAACTCCCTGAACAAATGTCTCACTTAATCACAGAAAAGCATGGCACAATTGTGGTTGTAAGTCAAGGACTACCCTGCATATAAAAATTGAAAGCAGCCATTTCTGTCCGACCTTCTATAGCTTAAGGGTTTTTTTTTTTTTTTTGCCTTAGTATAGCTCTAGCTTCATCTGACTCTAAAATTAAGATGATGTCAGTGGAGAAACCATAAAAGGCTCACTTTCTTTTTTGATTGCTGTCTGGAATGGTGTGATCCAGGAAAAGTTTCAATATGATCTGGAACTCTTTGGAGCATTACCTTCCCAGTTCAGCCAACTTTATCCTTGTTTTTTGTCCACGGTATAAATTTTTTTCCCCTCCCTCCTGTTTGCTTACCATTGAACCTGCCATGTCGGTCTGTATCCATCCTGGATGCAACGCAACGCACAAGATCTCATCTTTGGCAAGATGCAAGGACTGGCATTTGGAGAGCATATTCAGAGCAGACTGTGAGGGAGAGGGAGAAGGGGAAGATAGAATGAAAAGTTCACCTGAATGCTCTAAGACAGGGATCCCCAACCTTTTTGACGCCGCGGCCCGGTACCGGCATCAACTGGGCGCCGCCATCTTTTTTTGACGAAAAAGTGCTTCCAGTGAGCTTTCTACCCGGAAAAGCTCACCGGAAGCACTTTTTTACCAAAAAAAGATGGCGGCGCCCAGCAACCAGCGGCCCGGTAAGAGTTGTTCCGTGGACCGGTATCGGTCCGCGGACCGGCGGTTGGGGACCCCTGCTCTAAGATGCCACCTCATTCCATGGTAGCTTCTGTAACTGAAAAGCTGCCTTGGGCAATATGTTGGACAGCCCAGGCCTGTGGAAAACCAAAACATTCATCTGTTGTCTTGACGGGCTTTCATCCCCTCCTCCTCCGTTTTTCCAGATATGTCCCCTAATCTTATTGGTTTGTGATTCAATGTTGATTGACAGAAGGACAAAGAAATTACTCTAAACTTCGGTTGAAACTACTCAGGGCACGTTCTCTGTCCTTATTTGAAGGAACATGTTCTGGTCTGAAAGCTGATGGCTATCCCAAAGATCATATCTGATAGTGACATCTGGAAGTATTCTCATGCCCAAATACTTGTCTGTCTCTAATGGAATCTGAAGAGCTATCATCACTGATCATCTGCTCCTCATCAGAAATAATGGGAAATATTAAACCAGGTTTAGGCATTCACCAGTTATGATAGCAATAGCACTTAGACACATATATACTGCTTTATAGTGCTTCACAGCCAGAGGTGGTATTCAGCAGGTTTTGACCAGTTCTGGAGAACCGGTAGCAGAAATTTTGAGCAGCTCGGAGAACTGGCAAATATCACCTTTGACTGGCCCTGACCCCATCTATCCTCTGCCTCCCGAGTCCGAGCTAATTGGCTGGCTCTTCTTTTGTTGCCCTGCACAGGAGAACGGAGATGGAAAGCAGGTTAGTGGGGTGGGGAGGGAATGGGGATTTTGCGCTATCCTTCCCCTGCCACGCCCACTAAGCCACGCCCACAGATCAGGTAATAAAAAAATTTGAACCCCACCACTGTTCACAGCCCTCTCTAAGCCGTTTACAGAGCCAGCCTCTTGCCCCCAACAATCTGAGCCCTCATTTTACCGACCTCGGAAAGATGGAAGGCTGAGTCAACCTAGAGCCTGGTGAGATTCAATCTGCCAAATTGCAGGCAGCTGGCAGTCAGCAGAAGTAGCTTGCAGTACTGCACTCTAACCACTGTGCTACCCAATGATGGGAAGATGGATAAGAAAATTCAAGCATGCTCTTCTCATACGTACGATAAAACAAAACTGATCTAGCCATTGTTTGATGATAGACTTATCTGTACCTTACTACAGCGATAAGCAATGATGTGTCCCCACTGCCATTCAAAGGTGCCTGAGATGGAACCTGCTTCACTGGAAATGTTGATGATGGCAGCTTTGCTGCAGCTCATGCCTTCCAGGGGAATTTCTTGAGCTGCTTTTCTCAGCAAAGGAAGGAATGCCTGAAGGGTGAAAGGAACAAATGAAGGGCATTCCAACCTTCCGTAAGGAGGGCTGGGACATCTCCCAATCGATACAAATTCCCAATGGACAGGCTCCAAAGACTTGCCAATTACTTGCAACACAACATCAGAATTGTCCTGGAACCCACTTCATATCCCTGTTTCATTCAATACAATTTTCCCATCCATTGGATATCAATATTCTATTTTTCCCAAATGCCATCAATCTGCTAAACAACTAATTCCCATAACACTGTCAAACTATTTAGTAAGGCTGTATTACTAGTATTCTTCTCATCCTTCCTATTCCCTATCTCTTCCAACTTATGACTATACAGACCCCTTACATTCTGGACATAAACTGTTTCAACTCCTTCCCTCAAAACAACGCTACAGAGCACTGCACACCAAAACAACTAGACACAAGAACAGTTTTTTCTCGAAAGCCATCACTCTGCTAAACAAATAATTCCCTCAACACTGTTCAACTATTTACAAAGAGTGCACTACTATTGCTGTTAATCTTCTCATCACTCCTTATCACCCATCCCCTCCCACTTGTGATTGTAGGACTGTAACTTTGTCACTTGTATCCTTATGATTTATATTAACTGTTTCCTAATATGATTTGATTGCTGATTGTACCCTATGACTATCATTAAGTGTTGTATGTTATGATTCTTGATTCTTAACGAATATATCTTTTCTTTATGTATACTGAGAGTATTTACACCACACAAATTCCTTGTGTGTCCAATCACACTTGGCCAATAAAGTATTCTATTCTATTCTGTTCTGTTCTGTTCTGTTCCGTTCCTGTTCCTGTTCTGTTCTGTTCTGTTCTGTTCTATTCTTTTCTGTTCTATTCTATTCTTATTCTGTTCTATTCTGTTCTATTCTATTCTACTCTATTCTATTCTAAATTCTATTCTATTCTATGCTATTCTCCTTCCTTTTTTCCTCCTTCTCTTCCTCCTGCTCTTCCCTTCTCTCTTCTTTATTCTATTCTATTCCTATTCCTATTCTATTCTCTCCTCTACATTCTATTCTATTCTATTCTATTCTATTCTATTCTATTCTATTCTATTCTATTAACAAGTTGTTGTACCTTTACAATTTATATTGTTTATTTGTTCTCTAGTATGATTTGACTGCTTATTAGTAACCTATGACTATCCCTAAGTGTTGTATCTTATGATTCCTGATGAATGTATTTTATTTTATTTTTTCTTATGTACACTGAGAGCTCATGCACCAAAGTGTGGACAAAAGTCCCTCAAGGAGTTCTCTGGAGAAACTCCAGCATCAGCCTGGAACTCCTTAGTCCAGAAAAAAACAACAACCAAACAAGCCAACATCTGTTGTGTGAAATGCCTGCAACTAAATAGGTTTTCCTTTACCCAAAGAAGAAAGGACCACAAAGTGCCCTTACCTGGACAACTATCATGGGCCCAATCACATTGGTCCTGTAGGTCTCAGCCATGCTCTCGGGTGTTTCAGTCTCCAAGCTGCTCCTATTTAAAATCCCTGCATTATTAATCAGGAGGTTCAATCCAGCCCCTTTTAGATGATCCGTAACTTTGGCTGCAGCAGCCTTAACGGTGGATGGATCAGTTGTGTCTACAGCAGGAAAAAAACAAATAAAGGTGGGTTATTCCATATCTGATTTTGCAGACTGCACAGTGTTCCAATAAATTTACTTCTATTCTGTGGATATTGCATTTTCTTTTCTTTTCTTTCTTTCTTTCTTTCTTTCTTTCTTTCTTTCTTTCTTTCTTTCTTT